TTTGCAGACGCCATTTTTTTGTTTTCTGTTATTTTGAAAGTGTAAATGATGGAAATAAAATCTAACTTTTGTTGACATATTATAAGAATGTCTAATCTGTAATTTGATGTCTTTTGGAGATTTTTCCATCTTTCCTTGGCTTCTTTATGCACATTAATACAAATTTTTAGCTGGGGTGCCCAAACTTTTGATCCCCACTGTATATGACATCAAGGTACACAGTATCAGTAAATGAAATACATATCCAAATAATGAACAATAAAGTTCAAATGTCTCAATATAAAAATCACTAACAAGTTAGGTGAAATAGAAAGTAAAACCAAATTAATTTCCATTGTATTATTCCTAAAATGTGTAAAGAAGAAAACAAAAGAGAGAAGAGGGATTTGGGGTAGGGAAAAGAGGGTGAGGGACAGATAATTAGTGAGAAGAATGTCATAAATAAATTGCTAGTTATGAGCAATGTTTTTCCCTCATCCGAATACTTAAAAGTGTTCCATAGGAACCATGTTTTATTGTAATTTTTATGTAGGTTGTCTGAGGAGAGGACAAGGTTTTCCATGTCATTAATATATTCAACTTTGGAAAACCATAGTGATAGCGTGGGAGGATGTGGGGTTTTCCACTTCAAGGAGACCGCATTTAAATGCATTCTTGAGCTAAACTTGGTATGGGCAACTAGGTTTCAGTGATCTCTGGTCAACAAGGGGTTAACCAAGGTCTCCTGCCCTTTGCTCCTTACTATAAACAGTAAAGGAAGTGCCAGTTCACTTGTTATGTCCTGCAGAGTAAAAGCAATGATTTTAATGTTTCCTCTGTTTGACACTTCACTGACAAGGAACAGCTGGAACTCAAGCATAACTGAAGCAATATACACTAACTATGAACTTTAAAATCACCCATTACTACCATAACAAAATATGTACGCTTCCGAATTTGTATGAACAATTTAAACTATATGCTTCTTCACAATTCTAAAATATGGAAAAGTTGTCTGCATCCTTTATAAAAATAACCCAACATGCTTCCATGTTAAACAAAATTACAAAAGCTTGCGAAAAACAGAAGAGGATTTTAAAGAGGAGCTTTACTACTGCCAATAATTTTTCCCCCTCTTACAGTGTCTGCTGGGTCGTCCACAAAAAGACATGTCCAGCGAATCCAGCATTGTCTAACAGAAGCCATTGCTTCATTTCAGCAGTCAGGGTCTTACGCCACCATCTTCTCATCTGATATCACCAGGGGGCTGGCTTTCTCTTCTTTGTTGTAGTTCAGTACACGGTAGATTGACTGGTGCATGCACAGTACAGTGGAGATTGCCCAAACCTCCTGGGATGTGTGACATTGGTATTCTAGGTGGTTTCGGGTGGTAGGGGAGAATGTCATTGTTGCTTAGGCAAGAAAAATACAGAAATGCAGGTCCAGGTCCTGCATTAGATACTTTACTCCAAAAAGAGGAACACATTTAATATCCCTTGTATATGAGGGGAGCAAGAAAATGATGACAAGTCAAAGAAGAGGGTGGAAGTCCTTTTAATGTAAGTAATTCTTTGATTCCTGCCGTTAGCCCTTCACTTTGCCTTTCAGGTCCAAACTGCATTGTTCCTAAATGCTTCAATTTTGTCAGGAGAGTACTTGTTTTAAAACTACGTAACAGGTGGGTTTGGTAAAGTTTGAGTATTCTTGATAATAATGGCCACTTTTGAGCTTGGCTTAGGCATGCTAAAATGTAAATTTTATAGTTTAAAGATGGGATGTGTGAGATTGCTACTAGTGGTTATAGACTATGAATAGAAGACCTCATCCAGTATTACAATGGGATGTTCTTGCTAATATATATATATTTTAATTCTTTTTATTATTTTTGATAAAGTGAGAGCACAGAACAGAGCCTCTGGCTTAAAATAATACAATAACCAATTGCAAAACAAGAAGATAACCAAGTAAAACTACAAATAACCCGTTCTTGCTACTCATAAGGCACACATATTGTCACTCAGCCATGAAGATTATTTAAGGAAAGGGAAAAAAAATCTTTGGAACTCTCAGCCTCCCCCCACCATCTTAAACTCGATAAAATCTCATGTACTGTATAGCAGTATAGCATCAGGACAGATTGCACGGGGTAAGGGGTTGGCCTGATTAAATCGGGGTCTAGGATCAAATATAAGCAACTGTTTAGGGCGGGCAGACAGCAGCCTCAGAGTCACCTTGATCCACAGTGGTGGCATCTGAGTCCAACCAAATATCCCACACTTTGTTAAACATTTTCAAGCAGCCTCTAATGGAATTTACAAGCGATTTCCAATAACCCAGGGTGGGAGCAGTTGCAGACTTCCATTTGAGCATGATGGATTTTCTAGTGTAGAACAAAAGAAACCCCAGCAGTGTACAGACCGCCCTGGTGGGAGCCAGAGCCTCCACCAGTAGAAGCAGGCCCATGTCCACCTGTTGTGGGATAGGGATAGTGGTTAGGCATGTGATAAATTGTAGGACCCTCAACCAGAAGGTTTGAAAGTGGGAACACGACCAAATCATATGGAAATAATCAGTCAGCTCCGCGTGGCAACACCAGCAGTGTGAAGGGCAATCTGGGTAAATAAATCCTATGGAGTCTTTGGGGCTTCAAGTAAAATCTATGGAGGATTTTTAACTGGATCAGCCGATCCCTGGAAGACTCAATTTGGGAGAAAGGGTATTCCCAAATATCCTCTCAATCCTCCAGTCCAGTTGCGGCAGCTCTGCCAGCCAGAAATATCTTAATTTTTCCAAGCCTTGGTGCACAATAGGCTGTAAAGCCTTGTATATGGTTGAAAGGGGTTTCTTATAGCAGTTTTACTGCTACAGATCGTCGGTCAGGGAGGAAGAACAGAGCTATGGCTATGTTTAAGGAGCCATAGCACTGTTGAGACAGAGGAAAATCATGAATCATTTCTCTCTGCAGAGCTAAGAACATGATCCATCACTTCCCCTAGTAAAAGTACAACCTAGTGTACACCAAGCACATAGCCAGGCACACACTTAACCCTTTCATCAAACTACATGTTAACCCCTTTCCAGCCGGTGTCATTAGTACAGTGTCGGTGCATATTTTTAGCACTGGTCCCACTATAAGTCGCTGATCGCCGACATTACTAGTATAAAAGAAAATAATTGCAGTATACATTATGTACCATAGCTATAACTTTTGCACAAACTAATCAATACACAATTATTGGGATTTTTTTAATTCAAAAATATGTAGCAGAATACATTTTGGCCTAAATTTATGAAGAAATTTGATGTAAATTTTTTTTTTATTGGATATGATTTATAGCAGAAACTAAAAAATATATTTTTTTTCCCCAAAATTGTCAGTCTTTTAAAGTAAAGTGAAAACAAATCAAATATCACCAAAAGAAAGCTCTATTTGTGGGAAAAAGGACATAAATTTCACTTGGGTACAGCATTGCATGACTGCGCAATTGTCAGTTAAAGTAACACAGCACCGTATGGCAAAAAATGGCTTGGTCAGGAAGGGGGGTAAATCTTCTCGAGGGCATGTGGTTATAGGACACATCCCGGAAAAGCAACTCCATATCGAACAGTCATATGGACAGCTCCCAAATTGTGTGGAAAAAGGCATGGCACGGCTGGAGGAATCGGAAGAAGTAGGAATTAGGCAGGTGAAACTGTTGCTTGAGGGTATCAAATGTCTTTAATTTGCCATTCTCACAGATATGGGCCAGATAGCGTATGTCACCAGCTGCCCAGAGAGCTTGCTTATATTTCGAAGGTAATTTTGTCTCATGTTTCTAAAATGAAAGAAACTGAAATATAGCTAGACTGAATATATCACACCAATTATGGAACAATCAAAACACACACCATTATATGGGGCTGATTTATAATAACTACAGATAAGAAAATTGTATTAAAAGTGAAACAGCTGATTACAACTAGAAATATACTGTATGATGTAAATTTACTTTTAGATCTGTTGATTAACCTGGTCTCCATATTTACACAATGTTATTCTTCCAGAAAACTGCAGTAAATCACACCCAATTGGTCAGGGCCAATTGGTCAGGTCCAGGTTTCTGAAATTGTTACATCATTTTAGTCATGTTTAACCAGTTTTTAATCACAAATGAATGATCCAAGTCAACCTAACATGCTTTCATCATTTCACAGCTTAGATAGAAACCACTGGTGATAGTTTACTTTGATCTATTTAGTTATTTTTGCAATTAAAAGCTAGATGAAAGTGGTTGAAATTGCTTACATATTGCAATGTACACTATATTGCCAAAGTTATTGGGACGTCTGCCTTTACACGCACATGAACTTTAATGGCATCCCAGTCTTAGTTCATAGGGTTCAATATTAAGTTGCCCCCCCATTTGCAGCTATGACAGCTTCAACTCTGCTGGGAAGGCTTAGGTTTAGGAGTGTACCTATAAGAATGTTTTACCATTCTTCCAGAAGTGCATTTGTGAGGTCAGGCACTGATATTGGATGAGAAGGCCTGGCTCACAGTCTGGAACAAAGGTGTTCTATCGGGCTTAGGTCAGGACTCTTTGCAGGCCAGTCAATTTCCTCCACCCCGAACTCGCTCATCCATGTCTTTATGCACCTTGCTTTGTGCACTAGTGCGCAGTTATGTTGGAAAAGGAAGGGACCATCCCCAAACTGTTCCCACAAAATTGTGAGCATGAAATTGTCCAAAATATCTTGGTATGCTGACGCTTTAAGAGTTCCCTTCACTGGAACTAAGAGGCCAAGTCCAACCCCTGAAAAACAACCCCCCAAAATAATCTCCCCAATTTGAGCTACAAAACTAGCTTCAAAAGTTTTTGGAGCTTCAGGCATTCTGCTTCATGTGACTTGGAGTGGAGATGTGAACCATCTCTATAGAGTAATATTGATTTTTCTCCCCCCTGAGCATTTTGGAGCTTTGAACGTTGTGCTACAAAACGCTCAGGTGTGAATGGGGACTAAGGCTTGAATGCAGCTGCTGGGCCATGGAAACCCATTCCATGAAGCTCTCTACACACTGTTGTGCTAATCTGAAGGTCGCATGAAGTTTGGAGGTCTTTAGCTATTGACTCTGCAGACACTTGGGGACTTCTCTGCACTGTGTGCTTCAGCATGCGCTGACCCCTCTCTGTCATTTTACATGGCCTACTACTTTGTGGCTGAGCTGCTGCTGTTCCCAGTTGCTTCCACTTTGTTATAATACCACTAACAGTTGACCTTGGATTATTTAGTAACAAGGAAATTTCACAGATGGACTTATTGCACAGGTGGCAACCTATCACGGTCCCATGCTTGAATTGACTGAGCGCCTGAAAGCGACCCATTCTTTCACAAATGTTTGTAGAAGCAGTCTGCATGCCTAGGTGCTTGATTTTATACACCTGTCGCCATGGTGGTGATTGAATCCAATGATTTGGAGGGGTGTCCCAATACTTTTGGCAATATAGTATATATGGCATGGGTCTTCTGGATGGTCTGATAACACCATGGAACCCTTCACTTCCCTTCCAGTGATGGTGCTTAGAGCTGCACTGATCAGTGCTCACATAATGACGTGTGCTTACACTGCAGTGGTACTCTGAACTGTGTGATAATAGCCTGGACCGTGTGATAATAGCCTGGACCGTGCGATACTAGCCTGGACCGTGCGATACTAACCTGGACCGTGTGATAATAGCCTGAACTGTGTGATGATGTGAATGTACAATGTATATGTAAAGTGCTGCGTAAATTGATGGCGCTATATAAGTACCTGAAATAAATAAATAAATAATAATAGCCTGGACCGTCTGATACTAGCCTGGACCGTGTGATAATAGCCTGGACCGTGTGATAATAGCCTGAACCGTGTGATAATAGCTTGAAAGTGGGATGAATGATATTGGCCATTATTCAACTGGAAAGAATGAGGACATCTTTAAACAGAAAAGTACTACAGTGACAGCTTCAGATTGAAGGACAATATTGCAGCAAATGCTGTTTTTTTTTTTTTTTATTACTTAAACTATTACTAGGCTGTGAATTATTAATTCACAGAAAAAATACCAAATATGACAAGCCAACACAGTTCAGGGGACTATAATCTTCCCTCTTGAACACTTGGTTAATGAGGGGTTAAATCTGGAATAAGTTGATTGCTTAAATTGAAAAACCTCTTCGGAAGCTGGCTTTGAGAGAGCAATAACATCTGACAGGGGTTCAAACCACGCTCTATAGTAATCTGAAAAAACAAAATGCAAAATGTAAACAACACACATAGTATACTTACCTGATCTGTGTTACGGTTTTGCACAGAGAAGTTCTGATCCTCTTTTTCTCAGGTCCTCTGCCGCCTCTCCTGGCTCCTCGCCCCACTGAATACCCACTGTAGAAAGCTGCTTGGTATGGGGGCACCTGTATGGGCTTGCTCCTGAGCCAGCTCTGTGTGTCCATAAGACCCACAGAGTGAGGTGATGTGAATGACAGCAGTGGGAGCCATTGGCTGCTGTGTCTGAACCAATGAGAAGGCAGAAAACTATGCATGGAGATTATTATACAATAACCACCTCCGATTACTGTGACTCCCCCACAACACAAATCAACACCCTTCCCTAAAGGTGTACAAAATTATATCAGTGAAAATGTGTTTTTATATAATTTATCCAAAAAATAAATAAATAAAATATAACTTGTGAATTAAATCCCTAAATATATCATCCAATATTCATCTTAATCCCTCAATGTCTTTATGAAAAATTATTATTAAATAGTCCACTACAAAATAAAAGTCCAAAAAAATAAATCAATAAAAATCCACTCAAAAGATCAGGCCAATTCTTCCACCGAATCCACCTCGAAAAAAGAAAATTCATATAGTGCATTACCTTTTATAAAATAAAATTATCAGCTTCATATAGAGTGAATCAGTGAAAAACCATTCCAGGGACTGCACAAACTAGACCTCATATAGATCTTTTCCTCAGATATATCCTGTTGCCGCGACACTCTCTGGGCTCCTCAGACACTCTGCTCTCAATGTCTCCAAGAAAACATATAGGACAACATAGTGTAATACCGCCAATCAAATTTATAATCTGAATTTTTATTCCAAACTGCTCACATGATAAAACTTTAAAAACCGCTTTAGGGAAATAGAAGGAATCTCACAGCCATCCAGGAAAACGTCCAAATGCGCCTACATGTTCTTTTCCCTTCTCCAAAATGGCCACCAGTCGACTTCCGGTTCCGGTATACGTCTTGACATCACTCTCCCTTCACGCGTTTCGTCATCGACTTAATCATAAGGGGTGTGACCATCAAGCAGAAGAGTTCTATTTATGCCCCTCCTCATCATGACGCCAGAATACTAGCCGCCATATTAGAAGAGGGAACAATGCCAGTAATGTCCGATATATACTTGTAAAACGTCCGCAGAGCTAACCAAGCATATAACTCCTATTCTTAATCACATTCTATATTGCAAAAGAACGCTAATACTGTTATCCAAAACAATTATTAAAACAAGTCCGTAGTGAAACACCATCATATATATACACATACAACTTTTATTATGTAGTGGACTATTATGCATGGAGATTGGCATAAGGTAAGTATAAGGGGGGGGGGGGGGGGGGGCATTGGTGGGGGAAGCTATATGCAAAAAGTTAAAAATGGAGGGAAAGAAAAAAAAGGGGGTTGGGGATAAAATGGCAAATGGACACTAAAGGCACAGAAGCTCCAAACATATATTGGTAAAATCATTTGTACTTTATTATGACAAAGAGTTATGAAAAAACATTTTACAGTTTAAAAGAGATAATTATATACTGTCCCCGCAGACAATGAGCCACAACCCACCATGTTGTAAGGAACAAACTAGTGATGAGGTATACAATAACCACCAGGAAGATCCTATGGGGGGGTGGAATACACTCCATTTTCCCCTCTTTTTTTGCTCTAAATGCAAAAAGTTACCGGTAATTAACTTATTTCAGAGAATGCATTAAGGTAAAAACCTTTCCGACTTTAGAACCACTTTAATTATTTGAGGAAACTGTTGGTAAATAAACCTCAGTGTGATATGATAAGGACCATATGCCTTACACCCCAGCAAATAAATTTGCCTTCATACGTAAATTATATTGGCTATACAGTTATCACTTACTGTATATATATTTATCAGGTTGGAAACACATGGAGCAATTTCTTTCTATAACTGAGAATCATTCTTAGGTATTTCCTTAGAAATAAGATTTTTTTTTAAAAAACAGTTTATACATGCAATTCTCCAACTTTAATACATGCCATAAACTCAGCTCATACAGAAAGATATCTTTTTAATTAGAGTCTATCTACCCAAACCCACAGCAATTGAATCGAATGATCAAAACTTGAAAACCAAAATGACCTTTTATTGCAAAACAAAATTTCAGTGTAGAATAAAATGATACCCATTGTGTGTAAAAATGTGATGTTTGTGTTCAGAATTACACACATCCTGTATTTCTGATAAACTTCACCTTTCTAAAGTTAATGACTATGGCAGGATGTGCTGCCACATGATATGGCCCATTTGTGGATGGATGGTTCTCTGTTACAGTTCAATGATCTGGGTTATATTATTATTTACCATTTTTTGACTTTTGTGTTCACAGCTCATGTTTAATGATGTTCTTTAACATAAATTATTGCCAAACCTTGACATCTCACCTCAGCCACAGGGTATAATGAAACAGTCAGCTCTGACATAAATTGGATCTCCAGCTAAAACGAAGCAAAATTATAAATATCGGCAGAGTAAAGAAAGTATACTTTGAAACTGAACTCCAGGTATGATCTTTATTGCTCACATACATTGGTCCAGCTGGGCACAACATAAGTATGCATTACTCATACCTGAGGGACCACTGCAGAAGCTGGCAATGACTGTAGTAGCTGGCACTATTTCAGCGATGGCTGTGATCTTCTGGGTCCTGTGTGGCTTCCTATCTCTACACTGACCACATGGGTTTGCTTGTTCGGCACTGCTACTGGTCACAGAAGATCTTGTTTTGTTTTTGTTTTTTTAATACAAGGTGTTCTCTGATTGGGTGAGATAGAGATTGGAAAGTCACTATCTTCCTCTCCACCTCGTCCAACCAGAAAACACCATATATTCACTGATAAAATACAAGGCGCTCAATGAATGGTGGCAGTGGTGAGCTCATGTGGTCAGTGTGCAGAGGGGAAGATGTTCACGCAGAACCTGAGCAGGACCTATAAGATTGAAGCTATCACTGTAATAGGGCCAACTGCTACAGTGAATGTCAGCTTCCCCAGTGGCCCATTGGGTATAAGATATGCATGATAACATTCTATCAACGTGGACCATAATCAAATGTATTTCAAAAAATCACTGCAATTTAGTTTTAGGCTTCATTCATATCTGTGCATTCCAGGAAAGCAAGCAGAAACGACCATTTCTGCATGTGTTCCTGGAAAGCGTGAACAACAGCCATCGCGCTTGCAATGCCATTGATTGTTAGTGGTACCCCAAATGCATGAAGCTAACCTGCTTTTTGATGCACGCAGAAATGCACAGCAAATGTGGCAAAATGCTCCATGAGTGACCTTGCCTGAAATCAATGGGCTGCCCTATGTGTGTTGGAAGGAGTAGGGACAGATCGGTTCATTTTTTGCTGACTATGCCTTGTTGGGGAGTTTTCCCTGCACTTCCTTTCCCTAAGATGCAACAGGAAATTGCACAGAATCTCTACAACATCAGAGGAATTCTCCTTTTAGGCAGCCATCAACAGAAAGGATGTCCCCATTGGAAGAGTTAGGCTCCATGTACACGAGCCTACCCTGACTGGCGGACGTGGGAAACCGCAAATCACAGCAAAACCGCGGCAAAACTTTTTGCCGTGGTTCTTCTACATTTTGCATTTCCCCATGGCTGGCGGTCAAAATGTTCATATCCTGAATGCGATTCTTCTGCGTTCAGGAGAGGGATGTTTAGTCTCACCTAAACGCGGCAGCTGGTAAACTCTGCTAAAAGCCTATGTATACATGGACACAAAGGCTTTTATGGAGTTGAGTGAAGGAGTTTTTTTGCCAAAAAAATGCCTAAAGCTCCTAAACTCAAGTTTAGGAGCAGCAGTGTACATGGAGCCTTACCCTTCCTTTATGCTCTAGTGCAAAACTTTGCATCACTTTCTATCTTAGTAACATTGGTATCAGGACAATATAGAGTGAAACTCCTCAAAGAGAACACACACAGCAATCACAATTAACAGTGGTTCTAATCCTTCCTTCTCTATCCAAAATAAAAATGAAGAAAGCTTTATATATGCACGTCAATTAAAATATATTTAGTAAAAAATGTTTTTATTCTCTGCAA